AGTCAGAAAGTGCGATAACAGGGCACAAAGCTACAAGCTACTGAGACATTCAACGACATTCAACGAGTTGCTTCATAACTCGTTCCCAAGTGGTTTTTTTCTACAATTATTACTGGCTCAGTACCCGAGTTATATCTTCTGTAAAAGTTTTTTCATGGCCAAAGTGGTTCGAGCTACCTTAAAAGTATATGAGCCACACATAGCAGGGACGTAGCATCCAGTCCAGCCATGGCCAGACCTTATTTCGACTACCCAAGTCTTGAAGCGGGGTCTTGTATAATATCCATTTCTGGTCTTGTACCCCATCTGGCCGGACAACCTGAAATCCCAATCCTATGGCCCTGCATAGTGCTAGCAACGAAGGCACACGACTTCCTTCCACTACTCAAACTGATGGCAGGACCCAAACGCATTGTATCGTAATTCTGAAGGGTGTCTGGAGGCAGAACTGCAGGCTGTGCTTTCTGGCGATAGAGCCAGCGGACACTGATAGCATGGAGTCCTATTTCCAAAACAGTTTTGTTACTCCCATTGTACACATGCATAATACTGTACTCAATCGGTATGCCTGCATAGCTACTCCAAGTATACGATAATGACACGCACTGCTGTCAAGGACATTACCTGAAGGGCAAAGGAGTGTCCGTGTTCTGCATAGGATAGTTGAAACAGACTTCATCAGGCTTTCCGTCCCTCCGGATGACACAGTCTCATAGCGGCTTTGTCTCGCTCGAGGAGGTCACGAAATATTTTATAGACCTTTTTCACTATGCCATAAAACGAGTTTAGAGTACGAAGAATGCCAGTCGGAACCAGGGAGTTGGACGGGGCTAGGGAGGTGTATGTTCCTCAAATACAGCCTTACAGGTAAAAGGTGAGCATGCAACTCCTCTTCTTAGGCTCTTGTCTGAGACATCGGAAAGGAATGTCGGCAGTGCAAGTGAGCAGCAGTTACCATGGTTATTGTTACTGTAAGCCAGGTAAACCCTGGTAAACCTTGTCGTCAAGTAGTTGTCGAGCTGCAAGCTAGGCGCACTGCGACAGGCTAATACACGACGAGACGGAGTGAGCAATAGAGTATGTATCGGACAGTCTGCAGCTCCACCATCTCACTCACCTCACTCGCCTCACTTACCTCACACACCGGCCCAGCGATACTGATAGTAGAAGACAAGCGGTAACTCATACAGCCACTCAGTCCCAGTCTCCGCTTCTCCACCGCTGCCAATCGTCGAACGGTTGTGTCGGAGGCTCGAGCAGCTCGACACACAGTGACATGTCCACTGGGCTACCAGACTGACCACTCCAGTCTCCAGTCCAACCTTGTCCAAAGTCGAAACGCTCATCATTTTGTTCACTTTGCGGTGCGTTCCTGTCGTTGTCCTCCTTGAAAGCGCACAACAGCTAGGATAGCAGCAATATCATTAGGCAGTCCTCTCTGACAACAGACATGCAGAGACGAAAAGAAACAGCCACAGGTGAAGGATTCTGAGCTGTTTATCCCGACCGAGCCACACAAAAATCGTTCGTTATAACCATTATCATGGGTATCGAGTAATTTACTGAGATAGCGCACCCGCTGACACTGTCGTCATTTCAGCCACTTTCAGGTGCAGGTTTTCATCACCGCCATGTGCCAGGCGCCAGGCGGTCGTGAAAACCTGCACCTGAAAATGAAGACTGGTGTACCGGTGCATGACTACAATGCACAATACTGTACATGTCATGTAGTGTAGTATTGTGCATTTAGAAAAAGGGTTTTGCCAGTGAAACACTTCACCACTGACACCAGCACTGTTGAGTACGAGTGTTGCCAATGGTGGATTGCTGTGTACTACACTACCGGCAACTGTGAACAATAGTGTGTCAATAGTGTCAATAGTGTCAATAGTGAGATGTTACTGTTACGTGAAGTGTGTGGGTTAGTAACTTACACTCACAGTGCGGGCTAAGTAAGACACACCAGCCTGTGTGACTTCACAGGAAGCGTGAGTTTCGAAGTAAGTACAATCATCTAGTTTGGGGAAGGTGTTGAACGGTCGCTGCTTGGGCGACGACTACACTGTACATCGTGGCTTAGTGGTAGCCCTTGCTTGGCGGACGACATGTATGCTGGCAGAAACAATTGGATGAATTTTGGTACTTTTGCTGGTACATGTACATGTATGTTTCATGCATGTTTGGTATATGGATAAAGAAATGGGGCAGAATTCATGGGACTGGCTGAGCATAAGGTGTGTGTGTGTGTGTGTGTGTGTGTGTGTGTGTGTGTGTGTGTGTGTGTGTGTGTGTGTGTGTGTGTGTGTGTGTGTGTGTGTATGGTTATGCCAATTTCACTGTTTTTCGAGCAGAGTCTGCCAATGTTTCGAGCATAATCCGCCATGCAAGGGTTACTTAGCGGTGAGGCATCGCTGGCCATAAGCGAGGGTCCTGGTGGTGGCAGTCAAATTTGTCTTTAGACTTTTCCCGTTTGCACCTTTCCCTCAAACTTGAACTTACGAATATAATTATCCCTGTTTGTTGCTACTAAAGAGGTGCAAAAAAACCTGTGATACCATAAACAAGCACTTGACAAGGTCGAAGCAATGTCACAATGTCATAGTTTTTAGTGTGAGCGAGACTCACACTGCTTGAGGCAATTTTCGTATCTTTATCATCATAACATCCTCTGCTTGTCAACAATCATTCCATTCCATTTATTCCTTATTTTTCATATAGTCGCACACATGTAAGAAAGGCGTAGTTGCCTGTTTGTGATACGACTACAACAACAAGCAGCTAGCTGTCCGGAGATTGAGTAAGGTTCACGAAAAGGTTCTCCCACATCGAAGGAGTAACTTTCTCTCATGCCACCCATTATAGCCATGCAGTATACATCCATGCAGTACGTGCGCTCTGCGTTAACCAAGCATGATTGCACTCTCTTAGAATTCTCGCCTGGCTAAATCCAACCACATCAGGAACGGACTTTGCCCGAAACTCGAATAGCACACATTACACTTAATTAATTTACAGGCTCCGATACTACTGAAGGGGCACAGTAGCAGAAACATACAACGTACATGTAGCGGAGGAGTATGGAGAAACCTACACGCCTATTAAAGTTCATCATTTTAATCAAAATTACGAACGCCTCCACTTCTCTTTCAAGAATACCTTGCAATCTCTCACTCGTCCATTGTTTATCTTCACTTCAGCAAGCAATGTTATTTCCAAGAGCCACATGAAAACAAACACAGCTTGGGTCTCGCCAATTACGTGTGCGTTCCAGACGGATACTTTCCAGCACAACGTTCTCTAGATTTCCCATGGTGTTCCTCTGCACGATTTCGTTGAAGGAAGACAAATCAGCGCGCGCGTCACGCAGAAGCCACAGAAAAATCCGATGAGGACGTTCGCACTACCGGCATCGCCCATCTCTTCTTCGATATCTCTCTTACCAATAAACTGCTGTGCAGTGCCACCTGGGCCAGACAAACTACTAGCAGAACTATTCAAATATGCGCCTGACAG